ACTGTCTCGTGCACCTAATCCAGCGCAGACCATCAAGACAGTAGACGAGGAACATGGTGTCCTGGTCTGCACATTGGTTCACGCATCCACAGCAAAGCTGGCTGAAATCCAAGCTAGCACGGCAGCAGATGAGGTCTTGAAGCGTGTAACGACCTACATCGAACACGGTTGGCCAAATAAAATCTCAGAGGTCCACCCGTCAGTCAGACCCTTCTACTCAAGAAGAAGTGAGTTCTACATAACCGATGGCTTCGTCTGCTATGGCGAACGACTAGTAGTGCCAGAAGCATGCAAGAAGGATGTGCTCTCAAGACTTCACATAACCCATCGCGGCATTGTCGCATGCAAAAACCTGGCTTCCCAAAGCGTCTTCTGGCCTAGGATAAACCAGGACATCGAGGAGCTGATCAGCAGCTGTGAAGTTTGTCAACGCCACCAAAGAGCAAATCAAAGAGAACCACTTCTTGACCGAGACTTGCCAATACGCCCATGGGAGAAAGTAGCCATGGATTTCTTCTACCACGGTGGCACCACTTATTTGCTTGTGGTAGATTATTACTCGAAGTTTGTGGAAGTCAAGAAAATGTCGACTACAACGGCATCTGCTCTTATATCAGTGCTCAAGGAGCTGTATGCGTGCCACGGCATACCAAGTGAAGTTGTCAGTGACCAAGGCCCCCCATTTGATTCTGTGGAGTATAGAAGCTTCAACAAGGAGTGGGATATCGTCCACAACCCATCGTCACCACTCTTTCCGAGGTCCAATGGACAAGCAGAAAGGACAATACAAACCATCAAGGCCACAATGACTAAGGCTCTCTCCGAAGGAAAGGACTTGGCACTAGTGTTGATGACCTACAGAGCAACGCCAAGTAACGGCCTTCCATCTCCGGCAGAAATGTTGATGGGAAGAAGAATAAGGACTTTATTACCAGCCTGTCCAAGCAGCTTGCTGCCACACTATCCACACAAGTCATTCTCCAAGCAGCTTCAAGCAAGGCAGCGTGCACAGCATAAACATGCGGATCAACATGCGAAAGAGATGCCTCCTTTTCAGAAGAACCAGCCAGTTTGGTTTTGGCATGGAAAAAGTTGGAGAAAAGCAGTTGTGACACAGGTGGGTCCAGCTCCACGAAGATACCAGGTGACATCGGCAGATGGCCAGAGCTACGCACGTAACCGCCATCACCTTCGTGTGAGAATCGACTCCAGAGAGTCCAAGCCCAACCGGAAAGATGACCCGAGGAAACCCCGACTGACGGCTGAGGACTACTATCCTCTAGACTCCTCGCCCACTGCCAGCACCTACCCTCGTCAGTCCAATGCAACAGACTCGCCACCACAAGCTCAACCCCGCCAGACTCGCTCAGGAAGACCTGTGAAGATTCCGTCAAGGTTCTTGTACTAAACCCAGTCGGACATTTTATTTTTGTGCATTTGTTACTTGTGTGGCGGCATGTTATATATATATATCGACATGTTAGTGGCGCCCTCTTAGTGGCAGTTTGCCCTCGTGAATAAAAGTCAGGCCTAGCTGTGTGGGACACACACATGTTGGCGGCCCGTCTGAATCCATGGGTCTGGGTCCGATTCAATCGATAACAATCAATATATAACATTCGTGACCGCGTTGAGCCGCCGGTAGTCAACGCAGAATCGAAGCGTTCCGTCTTTCTTCTTTACCAGCACAACTGGAGAGGCCCACGGGCTGCTCGAAGGCTGAATGATGTCGTCGTTGAGCATCTCCTGTACTTGTTCATGAATGGCCTCTCGTTCCTTTGGGGAGACCCGGTACGGCGGCCGATGCACAGGGAGCGCGTCCTCGTTGGTAATGATGCGGTGTTTCGCAACTGTTGTCTGGCGCACCCTCGACGTCGTCGCAAAGCAGTCGCCGAACTCGGCGAGGAGGTCTCCGAGCTGTCCTCGTTCCGTGGCGCTGAGCTTGGGGTTAACGTCAAGCTGTTGCGGCACTGTACTGGACGGCTGACATGGCGAGGGCTCGTCGAAGATCGCGGCGATTTCGGCGTCGGCCCGGAGTTCCTCGACGTGTCCTATAGTGGCACCTTTCGTTAGATGCTGCGCCTCCGGTCGAAAGTTCGTCACGAGGACCACACAACGTCTATCCTGCAGCTCTGCTACGCCCCTTGCGACGCCTATTCCTCTTCCGAAAGCAGTTGGACGTTGCCTTCCAGAAGTACTTTCCCGCTGGCAACTGCGTCGGTCACGACGGGCACAAGAACACTCGACCGTGGCGGCAGGTTCACGTGGTCCGCAATGACTCGGACGGCGGCTGGCGACGTTTTGGATTCCTCCGGAGGTAGCACGGGCTTTCGCAGCGTCAACCTGTTTGCTCTAAGGTCGATCACAGCACCGTACTCACAGAGGAAGTCCATGCCAAGGATGACGTCTCTCGAACAGTCTTTGAGGACGACGAACTTCACGGGGCAGGTCTCTCCGTGGATGTCCACGCGCGCAGTACACCTTCCCACTGGTGTGATGAGATGTCCGCCGGCGGTTCGTATTTTTGGGCCATCCCATGGCGTCATCACTTTCCGAAGGCGGCGAGAGAGCTTCCCACTTAAAACGGAATAGTCTGCTCCGGTGTCGACGAGTGCCTTCGCGTCGTGGCCGTCGATGGTAACGTCGAGGTTATTCGACACCGTCACAGAAGCGTCGTTCCTATCCGTTTTGTCGCTAGTGTGGGAGCCCTCCGACGTTTGTGGAGGATATTGGCGTCGTTCGTCACCGGCAATACCACCTCCCGGTATTGCCGCACTCAGTTTTCCCGGCGAGGCAGGGGGGACAGGCTTTCTCGGCGGGACCTACGATGAGGCGATGCAAGGCGTTGCGGTGATGGCGATCGGTAACCGCGGCGGGGAGACGGTCCTGGGGATGGGCCACGACGTCTGGAGGATGGCGAACGGCGGAGGTATTCGTCGATGTCCCTAGGTCGCTCTCCGTAGCGTGGTCGCGGGTCGTCGGGGTGGAAGCCTCGTAACCCCAGCTGCCGGTACGGGCAACGGCGGTAGACATGATCGGCTTCCCCGCAATGGTAACAAAGCGGGCGTCGGTCGGCCGTTCGCCACACGTCAGTTTTCCTGGGTGCTGGTTTTTCCGGGCGCACGTGCTGTCGTTCTTCGCGACGTTGGTAGTACTGTGGCGCTGGAGGTTGACGTCGTGGTGGCACCGTAGCTTGGCGGTCCCCTCAAGCGAAAAGTAGACGTTGTGCAGGCGCTGCTCGTCGGTCCAGCCATTGTGGCGAGCAACGCGTACATACCGGTCAATCCAGTCTTCGACGTCTTCGTACAGTTCACCGTGGAAGGAAGCAGCCGTCCACGGTGCGACGGGCTGTTTGAGTTCAAGGTGATGCCCTTCGGACTGTGCACGGCGCCGGCAACGTTCCAACGTGTCATGGACACCGTCCTGGCAGGCCTCAAGTGGCAGAGCTGTCTCGTTTACCTCGATGACGTCGTGGTATTCTCGGCCAACTTCGACGAGCATTTACGACGCCTTCGGGCCGTTTTAGAGGCAATCAGGACCGCAGGACTTACACCTTCGTTGCTCACCACGTGGCCCAGGAACTTCAGTTCTCCGTAGGCAAACCGGCACTTCGTCGGCTTGAGGGTGGCAATATACCATTTGTCACACCATTCTTTAATGCGTTTAAGATATTCATTTAGTGAAGTTTGTCGATCGGTTGAATTAACAGCTGAGTAAATAATACAGTCATCGGCAAAGAGCCTTATATGAATGTCTGATGGAGTCTCATGTACTATGTCATTTTTGTATATATTGTCACGGGTGGTGAGTCGTGACCAATAAACAAGAAATAAACAGAAATAAATAAACGTTTAATGTGGCGAACTTGTACCAAAAATAAAGAAGGAAACAGAAGAAAGCAGAGCGTCGCGGGCGTCGAAGTCGGCGTGTCAGCAGAATCGAGCGCTGGGGCGAGAGGCCAGTCTTGTACACGTTACTCGAAAAAAGTAATCGATTACAATTACAATTACTCTTGGTTTAAAAGTATTCAATTAGATTACTAGATTACTTTCCAGAAAAAGTAATTGGGCATTACTTGAAAAAGTAATCGTTACTTTTCCGATTACTTTTTCGTTACTTTTCCGAGTGCTCACGAAGCTTCGCACCGTGAGCACTCGGAACAATGAGAAACGGAATAAAAATCAGCTACTTTGAGGCACATCATATGAAGACAAAGGCACGTGTATATTAGGGAGACGTTTATTTCATTTTAGATGCCACAGACACTTCTTATGTCTTGTTTAATTTAAGCAGAAGCTGGCGCTCGAAGTTGCAGTCGCTCATTTTCCCGCGTTTTCGGGTCAGGATGTCCGCTGCTACGCTAAACACCCCCTCCACAGATGGCAGGGCAGTGTTAAACCTAGACTCTAAGCCCTGTCCCACTTAGTAAGAGGGACATTTCTTCGATTTTTTCCCACTTAACTTTAAGGGGGGCGACAGACCTCTTAATATTACATGGAGATTCTCCCTCTTAATTAAGTGAGACACCAGCCCTCTTAAAGTAGGCGATACGGCGTCTCCCTTAACTTTGACGTCAGAGTCTCTTGGTAAGAGGGACATTTTTTAGATATTTTCCTCCTTAAATTTGGAGGGACGGTGGCCCGCTTAAAATGCAGGGGTATAGTCTCCCTTAAGTCGGGGTCACGCTGCTTATACATCATACAAAATACATTCTGCAGACATGTTCCGGAACGAGTCGCCGCGACATCCGAGCCTCGTACGCCACGAGGCAACCGAATCAAGAGGTTGCTTTGTCACGTGGCATACAAAGCACGGATGTCGCGGTGACTCGTTCCGGAACATGTCTGCAGAATGTATTTTGTATGATGTATAAGCAGCGTGACCCCGACTTTAGGTTATCTCTTTTATTGTATCGTAGAATTTCTGCTCCTTCGTGTTTGGACTGTCAGCTGACATGCTGTACTGCAGTGATGCAGTTCTCGCACTTTCGCTGATATTGTTTAACCAAAGTTATTCTGTGTTGCGCAACAAAATTGAAATTTGATCTGTGTATTATGTTTGATAAGCGGAATCAATGTGTTAAATAAAACAGTCACAATCTTTAAGAGTAAACACGTGTTTTATTTGCCATGACACAAGAAAATATTTTGAAATGTCTTTATCAAAATAGTAATTTTATAACAATGTTCTTGTAGCTTTTACGGATAAAAAAGACGTTAGAACGACGCCAGAAATTGGCGTTTCTTGGAAACAATCACACAAAATAGTTCGTGCTGCAAAGTGACTCCTTTTGCCTATCATAAACAATAACAATACAATCGTGCTGAAAAAAAAAAAACTTTTTTTTTAGCGGATAACACAAAAAATAAGTACATTCTAAAAAAAGCCCGTGCGTCTACTTTCCCGCACAACACTTGGAAAGACAATCACCATAACTCTCGGAGGCAGCTCAGCGAATGTAGATGCCGAAACATGTGATTATACCAAAAAAATGAGTTGCGACACTAACCACAACAAGCGTGACGTTTTGCATTGCTTAATGTCAGAACTCGGACTGGGTTTTTCTGTCTAATCTTATGTTTCGGCATCGTGATTCGCTGAGCTGCTTCCGTGAGTTACGGTGATTGACTTTCCAAGTGCTGTTCGGGAAAGTAGATTCCTGTGCTTTTTTTTGGAGCGTAGTTACCTACTTCATAGCATTAAAAGCGAATTATTCGGCGTCTCTTGTCATCAGCAGAAGCTCGGAATTCCTGTTGTTTTCGAACGGCCATAAGCAATTTTCTGAGCTTCTCCGACATAAACTGAATCGAAAGACTTTATTTTCAACGAGCAGAATTTAGAGGAGTCCAAGGGTTTGTCCACATGCCACAGGGTAGGAGTGTCCCGTTATGTAATACACCCATAAGCACATGACTGGTGCCCCCTCCATAGTCGTGCTAGCGGAGTTTCACTGACCAGTTCCCAGAAACGATCCGTTTCTCCGAACCGAAGAAAGACTTGGGTCCTGGAACTTTTTCGTCAGGGATGAAATCGTCCTGCAAGCAGTAATTGTTTAAAAAAAAAAAAGCGTCATCGTCAAACTTACATTTCTATTTTTGCATTCGCTTTTTCACATACCATAGACGATGAGAGGACTTCTGGCCAATCGAGACCGGAGAATGATCTTCATGTTCAAAAATGTTGTTGGGTTGTCTCCGCAGAAGGCCCCTTTTACCTCCTCCAGTTTCTTCAGCATGGTGACGATCGTGTTATGAACCGAAGCTGTGCATCCACCTCTAGTTGAATGAAAGACCATATTGTTTTCCTTTATATACAGAGAGTTGGAATTAGAATGAAGGTAATGAAGCGCTTTCACCTGTTTTCAAGCAGGCGGTAGGAAACAAATGCGAAATTAAAGTGCAAACAGTTCAAAGATTCGGAGCCCAATCTGTATACGATGAAATAGCGAGTGACATTAGCTTATGACGTAACTTCTGCTACTAATAATATTTGGTACGAGAATAGACTGCTGTTTTAAGTAATTTACGCGAATCGTTTTTGTATTACCAAGACAAAACGAAAACGCATTTAGAAGTAGATGAACATTAGAAGTCTCATGTGCTTTGGAAAGCAGGGATTGCATTTGCGGCTCGAAGCTGCAGAAGAGATCTAATGCATGTTTTAAAAAGCAACATAATCAAATAAAAAAAAATATATATTTCTGTTGACATTTCGGCGCAAGTCATTCATTTATTCTTTTTTTCAGAAGCAACGCATATGCCAACAGAACGTAAATAGAGCCTACCTACATACCAGAATACAAGCCTACCTACATACCAGAATACAAAAAGTTCATAATTACCCAGTTCATTGTGGGCCGTGTGCGAGTGGCCGCAGTAGACTCATCAGTCAGGGTGGTGCGTTCCACCGTGCAGAAGGTCCCGGTAGAGCTCTGTACACGAGAAATCCGAGCAGAACCCCCGTCTGATTCCCTTCATGTCGACGTTTGTTGCCATTGCCTCACTCTGAAAACAATATTTTTAACGGTCAGTCATATAAACTTCTGTTTATATATTTTTCGCAGATGTACCACACAGAAAAAAAGATATTCAACCAGCTACAGAAAACAAGGAGCATAATAAACATCACAAATAAAATCTTCAAAAACAAAAACATGATCGGCGCCGAAAAAAAAAAAAAAAAAGCCGGTAGCTTTGCTGGCGCGACCGTCAAAATATAACAAACAAAAAAGTACGGCAAGAAAATATATAAAAAAAAGAAAATGTACTCCAGGGCCATCGCGGCACTTTTCCCCTCTCTCCGCAGACGCCGCGACGCCGACGCTACGCGCAAAAGAAAAAGAAACAAACTTTTTTCTTCTTTTTTTGTGGGGTTTGAATTAGAAGCTTGTCCACCCTTCCCCCCCCCCCCCCCCCTTTTTCACATACATACACACACATTATGGGTTTTTGCTCGCCTCCCACTTCAGAAAGAAGTTCATAATCACTGTAACGCTACCGATGTCTACAACATAGCGTTGCAGTGTAAATTGCTGTAATGAACTCTGAAGGCAAACAAACGCAAAATCGCCAACATTGTTTCCGTCAGTCAACGCTCTCGGGCGGTCAACCTCAAGCATTTAGAGTGCACACCGAGAAACAAATCGGCTAGCCAAGCTTACAAACACTGACTGCCCCAGCTAGGGTGCCTTTATGCTGGCTTTGCCTTAGGGAGGGTGATGCCATCCTTTGTAGTACTCGATGCCGACAGTGTACGCTCACGGATAAAATACAAGGAAATTGCCTGTAATGAAATGCCGGCGTAGCAGTGCCAAAGCTAGCAGCTCGAGCTGCTAGCTTTGGCATTAAAAAGTAGACAAAAGCGTCGGGCAGAAAATGGTCTGATATCACCAGCCTAAGACAGACGCGTACACATTGGGGCACTCTAACCCGCTAAAAGTGTTTTGTGCGAAAGACAGCCCTGCGGCTCACGGCAGGGCAAACGATTATCGACGCTTTGTCGTAGCTGAACGAGCAGATCCAGGAAGCGACCGTGCCCGCGGACTACAGCTGAACACTCTTACTCTACATGCAGAGCTCGTACATCTCACAGCCAGCGTGAAAATATTGATGGCTCGTTATTCCCACCCGCAATGCACCCAAAACAAAAGCGTCAATATGACAGGATTACTCACCCGAAGGAAGTCAAACGAGCAGCATGACGCTTGCGACTCTCCGGCAACGACCGTTTCCAGCTCTCCGTGAATTGGCGCGAAGCCTTCGCACCGTCCGAACTCTTTGCCGTGGATTAGTGCGCCTGCCCCTCTCCTCCTGACCGAACTACATTGGTCCAGTTAAGAGGGACCAGTCCCCTCTTAATATGAAGGGAGACGCGTGAATCTTTCTGTCGGTCTTTCCTGTTCAGAGGGACTAACGAAACGGTTTCCTTGGTCTCTCTTAATATGTTGGTGTCCCTCTAGATGTTGCTATTTTATTTTTCAATTTCCCTCTTAAAAAGAGCTGTCCCCCTGAAAGCATTGTTGTCCCCTCTAAAATCAGAGGGACAGCGTTTTTTATGAGAGACCGGTTTTAGAGTGATAATGAACACTTTTTGTAGACGGGGGTACTCCTTCAGCATTTCCGTCGAACTGTCCGGAGAGCTGAGGTAGCGTGAGACTTCCCCACTGTCCCGGGTCGATCTTGGCGCCGAAAAAGCGAAGAAATCGTCAACAGGGGAACCTCCGCAGTCAGCGGGAGGTTCCTGTCCGCCGGTGGGCGATCCTCCGTAGCATGGGCGGTTCAGCTCGTCCGTTAGCAGCTGAGCTAGCTCCTGCCGCTTGGCTTCGCCAAGAACCCAGCCGACTTTAAACCCGGGGAGCGCAATGGCTGCTAGCAACAGCTCCCGGTCGTTGATCAGGGGACCAAACCTGTAAATAGAAAGTATCGCATCTGATAGGTTAACACAGTTCCGTCCCGCAAAAAGTGGAAGCAGATTATGCTTCTTCAGAAACTTACCGGTTCTGGATTCCATCAAGCAGAGCATTCACAAGCGGCGCGGAGAAAGCTAGGCCCGCCTGGAGAAGATGGCTGAGCCGCTGCTGGAGTACCGTGATCGTTGGCAGCAGGTACCCCATGAACATGTGTTCTTCTCTTTGAACCACGTCAATCGCACAGGCGAGGGGCTTCATGACCTGCAAATGCAATAGAGGGGAAGGTTAGCAGTATGGATGTTTTGTTTACGGTATTGATACGCAGATCCCTCGTCATAAATTCAACCTCCTTTTGTGAAACGTAGAAATAACAGATATGGCACTCTCACCTTACAGTACTCTTCTATGAAGAGTAGGTCACGTGGACGCTGGAAGGGAGGAACTTGTAAGGTCCTGCATAACCCGTCGAAGTCTTTGCCCTCAGCATCCAACTTGTGCACGCACTCTAGCGCATCGTGGAGAGAGTTCCACCGCGTTGCTACGGGCCTTATTAATGCCTGCCCACAGAAGCGTCGGATGGTCTCGGCAGCAACCGCCGACTGTCCCTGCTTATTCCACAAGGCGCGGCATGTCCGCAAAACGGAGCGAAAAGGTCTCGAGAAGATTTCGTGACGCTCCGCTGCTCCGGTGTCGGTCGTAGCCACTAAATTTAGGGTGTGCGCAGCACATCTATGGTGAGGGGGGAGTCCTGTCTGCCGGTGGCGATCGTCCGTAGCATGGGCGGTTCAGCTCCTTGGTCCACGTTTTCAAGCAGGGGTGCTACCTCCACGAACTCCAGGCCTTCATCGTCCTGCTCCGAAGGCTCTAGGTCGTCAGGCTGAACAGGCTCGCCAAACACCCTGTGTTATAAATGAAGAAAATAATAGTTACCCAAAAGAACAACCTGCGTTTACTTTTTGAACGTTTGAACCACGACAACAAGCGGATACACTTTGCTGGTGGAATTTGAACGCTATATTGGATTCACAAAGTGGGTCTGCTTGTTGTCATGATCAGGTATATGCGTGGAATTGTTCTGATGTGCTAAGCAAGCGCTTTTGCAATTCTATCATTAATTTTATCAATAAATAACAGGCCGCTATTACTGTATGCGGCAAATATTACCTGAAGGCTTTTACAAAATTGGATCCATTGTCGGTCACAACCTTGGTGACTTTTCCTTGAAGGCCGTACTCCTTGAAAACCTCCAGAAGAAGGTCTGCAATCTTGTCGTGCGTGACGCTGCCCGTCATTCTTTGGCAGATCGGTACTGCAGAGTTCCCCTTCAGGGAAGCCGGCTCGAGCCAAGAAACTGTCGCTGCCAGTTTCTACATGCAAAAGAACAACCTGCGAAAAAAAAAATATTTTGTATAAACTGTACTGCGAAAACAAGAACCCGCCAGCTTAATTGCCAGTAGACAATACTGGTATTGTCTGAACATTAAGGTCATATTATGTCTCTTAAACTAGTTACGTATTTTAGCAGTATCAGCGCTTTTATATCACCGAATTTAATAAAAAAAAAAAAAAAAAGTTTCCGCGACAACTCACCTTCTTGGTTTTTTTCTTTTTTAAAGTGAGAATAATTGAAATAAATTGAATTTATTTCAGCCGCACTGTGCCGAGGACGCCGGACAAAAAGCTTCCATGAGGAGACTTTTATATTTAAATACAGAGACCAGCAAATACAAACCCACGCATATAGCTTTGAAACGATTATTCTGGATATGCGACAAGAACGTAAAAAGAATACACGATGTTATCTTAAAGAGGCTTACCGTCGGAACGATGTCCAGCAGTCGGCGGTCACAGTGACGTAAGGAACCTCGTCGAAAGCTTTCCGCAGGCTTGTCTTCATCTCTTCGTACCTATCGTCGATTCTCGCCATCAGCATTCTCCGTGTTGGTACCGTGTTTTCAGGGGCCAAGGTATCCACAAGTTTAACGAAACTGGGAGCCTCGACGACAGAGAAAGGTTGCAGGGAATCTACAACAAAATTCACAATCAGGCTGCCCAGCTGCTTTTGAGGCACCCGCCCGCTTGCAAAGTTGAGGGTAAGTTGTTTCGGCGTGGACGTCAAAGCAGCTTCAGACAGCTTCCGTTTCCGCGAAGAGTTCCCAAAGTCAGCCAGATTCCCGGGGTGTTGACTCTAAAAGAACGATTGTGATTAATACATAAATTAAAAAAAACAAAAACAAAAAAAAACACACACACATACTGCGGACATGCACGGCTAATAAAACGGGATACGGTCCATTCGTCACATGCACACTCGTCACAGGACGATTGGTCACAGGACGATTCGTCACACAGGAACATTCGTCATAGGATGACTCGTCACGCGGCCAACCGGTCCCACAATAGTTCGTCCTCCCAAAAATGTATTGTTCAATTTGGTTCGGGTGGACAAAGGCGAAGAATTTGTAACGAACGTTTTAGCTTCTGATTCGGTCCCGAACATTGAATGTTGGTTGGGCCTCACAAAGTGGGTCACCTCTTATCTTAGCATGTCTTTCGCTTCTCGAGGTCAAAGAATTTGTAACAGACGTTTTAGCTATCTGGGTCCGTCCTGAACGGTGAATGCGGAGGCCATAAAAGAGCGACTATTTTTGAACTCAGACTACATTCGAAAGCATGGAGGTGATCGCAACAGAGAGAGGTAGAGCCATGATGCTGCACGAGGGGTACTCGTACACATTCGGCAGAAGGAATTCCGATACTTGTTGGTTTTGTCGAATAGGTGTATGCAAGGCAAAACTAAAAACTAATTTGGCTGCCAGTCGGATTATTGCTCGTTCAAGCCTGCAACTGAGATCAACCTGCTCAAGACCCGTAATATAATGAAAGGAAAAGCGGATGAGTATTGTAATATTAGTTTATATAACCATTGGTTTACGTGACAGTGGAAAATCGTGAAACTCCTCATCAGGGTATGTGGGCAGATGTTGAAATTTACAATTTACTATCGTCCCCTGCTCGATCAATGTGACCAGTTGCCCGCATGACGAGTCATCCTGTAACGAATGTTCCTATGTGACGAATCATCCTTTGACCAATCGTCCTGTGACGAATGCGCATGTGACGAATCGTCCTCATCCCAATAAAACATACCTTTACGTGCTTCCGCAGGTTTGAGTTCGTCACCATGGAACAAGACAGGAGCTTTTCTTTAGGCTTACAAAGTAAACACTGAAATGTGAGGTTGCCATCACCTCGCTTTTCCTTCAGCACAAACAAGCTTGCCAGCTGCGGCCACGGAGACACGGCGTCATCGACCTCCCTAGCATGAGCCATCTCTGTATAAAACACGACTGAAACATCGTGTTTTATAGCCGTAAAATTTCTAAGTTCCGAGCTATTCACCCGGGAACGCCTTCATCCCTCCTTGGTTGTAACAGAAGCGCTGGACTACTCATAATCTCGATCCACCCTTTCCGGATTCCCGTATTCAGGCTTTTTGGGTGTAATAATGCATGGGCGTGGTAGAGCGAGCTCGAATATTTCTTGAAGTGGGTGCTAAGGACGCTAGATCTTGTTAGTTCCACTGAGCTACGGTGACCTATATCCAGCTCCGGAGATATCGCTTTTGCGCTCTTTGTGGCTTATTGCTCTAAGTTAGTACAAAGAAGCAGCTTCTCCCCTTTTCTTCCGTGTGGCGCCTTTTCTTTCCTAGAGTTTCCCACTAAGATAATGATCCGGCAGCGGCTGTCACTTCTGCCAAAGGATATGAATTCTTAGAGCTCACATTTATAGTCACACCTTAGCATTTACATTACATGGCTTTGGTTATCTTGGAGGCAGAAGAGTGTAGAGGTCCTTTGACCAGGATTTAGAGTTCTTTTTTTAATATATAAGAGGGGTGGACTGTATGAAGAGTTAATGGAGGCAAACATTCTACATTAACCATCGAACTTCGCACTGAAAGGCTTTTGTCGAGAATCTGAACCTGACAGACCGAGTCGAAATCTAAGTTCCAACAAACCACTCTGCGAACTGTCCAAACAAAGAGCATGACCTCCTTTCGTAGAGCTCGACAACAATGCCTTTATTCTCTCAGATTCCAAAAGCTTAGAAGCTGATAAAGTGGAGACGTCTCGTGTCTCGAGTCGTGACTAGGTTGGCCGAGGGGGGGGGGAGGGTTAGGAAAGAAGTAATGATTACAAGTAATTCCATTACTTTCAAAAGTAATCAAATTACTCTTGTGATTACTACAAAACAAAAGTAATCAAATGAATACAAAATTACTTCAAAAAGTAATCAATTACAAGTAATTTGATTACTTGTAATGAGTACCGTACAAGTCTGGGCGAGACTCACTCGAGAAGGTCGCGGGCGGCCTCTTATCTAGAGTGAGTCAGTATCTCGAAGATTCGGCGGAGAAGGTTCGAGCGTAGCGCGCTCGGGGCGAGAATGAACAAGCACTTTCTAGAACAACAAAAACAGGGATGAACGATAATTATGTCCACAGCAAGAGTGAACGAGAACTTTCTACAAGTCCGTGACCCTGCGCGCGGCAATATTAAGAACAGCAATGGGCCCCAAGACAGAGCCCTGGGGCACGCCCGAGTAAACTGGAAGAAGGTTTGAGGCGTGGCCGTTACTTTCTACATAATGGCTTCTATTAGTTAGATATGACTCTATCCATCCGGTAATCGTTGAGTGAATTCCGATTGTTTTAAGCTTTAATATTAGTTTCCTCTCAGTCATCCCAACTTCAACTGGGAAATACCTTTTCCAAACTTTTAGACCCCCAGATACAAAAAAATCTGGTTTATTTAAAACTGCCCTCTACATACGCAGTGAGTGCCAAGTTCATTACCAAGTTTTGAAAACGGAGTAAATGCCAAGTTCATTATCAAGTTTTGAAAACCATTGCTTTTCTCCTACACCTTATATCAGATTCCTCGGTGGACTCATATAAGGTAAAACTGGTCCCTTATGCTAAGTTACCAGAAACTCCACTTAATTTGCATTTTTTGGCACAAAGAGGCATAAAGTGAATCGTGTTTCGAACCACAGGTTGCGTGAGAGCTCCGTTCGGTTGGCTTCACCTGCGAAAATTTTTAGAATGTTCGCAAGCGTACGTTCCAAGAATGTTGCGCATATGAATGTTCGAAGGGGAACGTTCCGAAAACATTGAGCACAAATCTTCGCCAACGAACGTTCCAAGAATGTTGAGCAGTTTAGGGAATGTTCGCATACAAACGTTCCCAGAACGTTCCGAATGGTGTTTTAACGTTCCTTCAACATTCAGAACATCCAGGGAATGTTCGCACGACATTGGGTGCTACCTGGGAGCACTCCCTGCAATTCAGAACCTTCATGAAAAAAATGAGAGAAAGGGTGCGCAGTGTATTATGTCCACTGTTGAGCCAAACCGGAGACGGCGGGAGGGAAGAGCCAGGCGGCGGGCAACGGAGATGCACAGGACGCCTGGAAGCAAGAGACTGGGGCGCGGACCAGACAGAAAAAGAGATAAGGGTCATTCCATGTCAAACGTTCCAGACGTTGCGCTCCACCACCTTCGATTTCTAAAAGAAAAATTCATGGCTTTTTGCCGCATTGTCCGTAGCCATGTCCTAAAATATTTCTGGCGAACAAAAAATTTTTGATATTTCCGTCGTGGTTATTCGTGTGTAACTCAGCTAGCTGAATTTACACATTACCTTTCAAATGCCATTGACAACAAAAAACGAGCAGATTGTATATTCTTGGATTTCTGTAAGGCGTTTGACACGGTGCCACATCATTTGTTATTGAATAAGCTTACATTAATAGGAATTAATGAAGATATTATAAAGTGGGTTGCTGTTTACTTATCTCAGCGAGAACAAAGTGTTTTATTAAATGGTCAAAAATCTTCACCTGTACTTGCAACCTCGGGGGTGCCTCAGGGATGTGTACTGGGACCTTTGGTATTTCTTATATTTATTAACGACATTCGCTAGGGGATACAGTCAAACATCAAGCTATTTGCGGATGATTGTGTATTATACAGAGTTATAGAAAATGACGCAGACGTCTGTATGATGCAAAAAGATTTAGGTATGTTAGAACGCTGGTGCGATCATTGGGAAATGGGCTTGAATATAAAAAAGTGCAAATACATGTGTTTTACTCGTTCTATTGTTAGCATGGCTACATATAAGATAAAAAAAACTATGAACTTGAGCGGGTAGATAAACACAGGTATTTGGGAGTCAATTTTTCGAATAATCTAAAGTGGAATGACCCCATAGATAGTATTGCAGCAAAGGCAAGTAAGATGTTATTTTTTATTCGGAGGAATTTTAAGAATACACCTCGTAGCGTAACACAAACATTCTATTTTTCTTTTATCAGACCAATTTTGGATTATCCCTGTGTTATCTTGGATCCGTCTCAATGTTACCCCGCGAATAAGTTAGAGCGAATTCAAAATCAGGCATTAAGGTTTGTCACAGGCGATTATAGTCCGTACTCGAGCTGTACAGAAGTGAAGAACAGACAGGGTTGGGACCTTAGACTTCGGAGAAAGTGTTTGCGGTTAACATTCTTTCACAATATATATCACGGGGAAACGGGCATTGAAAAGGGTCTTTACATTCTCGAACCACACCATGTATAATAATAATAATAATAATAATAATAATAATAATAATAATAATAATATTTATTTGCATACTAAAATCTGATCCTGAGTGGCGTGCATGGCTGTGCAGAAAGGTTAAAACCCGTACGCGAGTGCGCCTGCTGAATCATTCTAAGACTGCGGCAGAGTATCGTTATCGTACTGACTGTTTTTGCTATTCATTTTTTGTACAAACCGCCCGGGAGTGGAATGCCCTTCCGGAAGAACTGATAGCTATTATCAATAATGACGCCTTTTATGACAGACTGCAGAGAAGCATGGTCAAGTGAAAATGTAGTAAGGGATGATTGTCGATTGCGTTACTGAAAATGATTTTTGAATGTGTTTTTCTTTTGTTCCCCCCTGCATAATGCCTACCGGCGAAGCAGGTATTTGTGTAAATAAATAATAAAGGAGCACGGTTTTAGCTTTTAAAAATAGCGTGAAACTGGGTATCACTCCATAATTTACAACAAAAAAATAATCAGCTTTTTTAAGAAACACCCAACAATATTTTTCTTAAATCTGCATGGCATTCGACTTGCAATGTGGTTGGGCTTGTGCAGTTGTGTTTAGTTTAAATATATTTTTTAAACACAATTTTCTTTAATTCTTAG